ATAGCCAGCTGTTGTGGCGGGTGCCGGTAGTCCCAGCTACCTGGGAGGCTGAGACAAGAAAATCACTTAAGCCCAAGAGTTGGGGGTTGCTCTGACCTGTGACCCACATGTTAAGGTAAAAGAGAAGCAAGTCTAACTCCATTTTGTTATAATTTTTGCTGCTGAGGATCAGTGGGAAAGCAAAGCAGGCCTGATTCCATTCTGTTGCTTTGTTATTTTATTGCTTTTTTAAAAAAAATGGTTCCACCTGCCTCCCCGCCCATTGCATCATATTTTAAGTGTACCTGGGTAAAACTGTTAAAATTATTAATATTGTATAGAAAATCACTAACTACCCTTGTGACAACAACATTCATGATTATGTTAAGGTGGTCTTCATGCCATCTGTATATGACATGGAAATGTTAAAAGAGCAAGTTTGACTCCACTTTATTATTTGCTCCTTTTTACCTTCAAAAGTAGTTCCTTTTGTTTTCCCGCCCATTGTAACTGTAAATGCCTTTAGCTAAAATTGTTAGTAATGTAAGTTACTGACCATGTAGCCCTTACGATTATAGTTTTTTATGATCATGTGTGAGTCCCCTTTCCTACATTACCATAGGACATTGTAGATTACACCTGCTTTGTAAAGAAAAAATTGCTAATTGCTCTTGTGATCATAGCATTGTATAAACTGACGAAGCCTTACCTTCGTGATCCCCCTAACTGCAATTTTTCACTTCTGTAACTATGCTTGCTTGCCCACCAGAAAAATTTTGCCTTATAAAAGTCAGAGCCTCAGACAACTTGGGCTGCTCTCAGAAACCCCATGTTGGAACACTGAGGCAGTCGCTGGCCAGCTCTTCAATAAAAGGACTTCTCTTTAATTTGAATTGTTTGATGATTTGGTCTTTGAGAGACTCCTGGATATGACACATGGTACTCTACCCAGGGTGACAGCTTGAGACTCTGTCTCAAAAAAACAAACAACAAAAAAAAAACCTTATGATTGCTTTAAGCAATAAAATCTTTTAATGGGCATGCCTTTCATGGTGTTTTTCTAGAGTGCCTTCTACGAAGAGTCAAAATCAATCCATTGATTACTTATAAAGTAATGATAAAAAAGATACCTGATCCATGTTAAAGGTACCAGTATAAGAACTGGGCATAAGCTACACTAAATGCACAGCCAGATAAGCGCACACACACACACACACACCACACACACATGAAATACGTGTCACTTGTGTTTTTAGCCCATATGTGCACAAATACCAAACTGCTGGGTAACTGCAGAGAAACACAGTATTAGCAACATGGGCTCTGAAGAGCCAGCTTCAAGGGTGTGAATTCTCCGGCTGTGTGACGTTAGGCATTCAGGTGACTTCCTTATTTGCCCTTCTTCTCTTCCTCTATAAAAGAGGGATAATAATAGCTGCTTCACAGAGTTACCATGAGACTCTAAGGCAACACCAGTTCATGTGGATGGGTGCATGTGGTGAACCATAATACAACAGCAAGGCTTCCCGAGAAGAGCCCCAGCATCGTGGTAGACAGTTCTACAATTCTATAGGAATTCTATTTAGTGGCTGAGCTGCAGAGTGTGGACAACTATTCAGATTTTAAATTCTTTAAGCTAAGCAACTTAGCACAGTATTTTTATCATTACAAGTTGACAATTTCCATTGCTGTTTCTTGAATAAAGATAAAACTAGTTAATCCAAATAAATGGTCAGAAATATGAAAATATGAACTGATAACATTTTTATGATCCTTTAATCACCAGTCTTTGGGATGTGTTTATGAAATGTTGCTCAGCAAAGTGCAGTTTTGCCTTTGGTCTTGCTATTACCAAAAAAGACTTGGAGACTTTTTGGATGCTACAGTTTTGTATTCTTTTCCTAATCTGTTGATATCTGAGATAATGTGTCAAAAATGATCACCTGAATGTGAGCCCTGAAAGTCAATTGGCAGAAGACAGCTTAGAAAACTGTCAAGGACTCTCTGACTCTGATACCAGCTGCAGCCCCATCACTCTAAGCAAGAGGAAGAGGCTTGCTGAGAGGCAAGTCAGGAAACTTCCCATTCACAGGCCTATGATTTGTAGAAAGGAGCTGCCTAAGTGGTAATGCTGAGAATGATAATGGCAGCTAACAGGTGTCGTGCTGACTGTGTGCCGGACACTATCCTGAGGGCTTTATCCTTCTGGGCAGGTACTAACATCACCATCTCTATTTTACAGGTGAGAAAACTGAGGCAATGAATAGAACTAATAATCCCAGAATCACATAGCCATTAAACAGGAGAGCAGAGGTTGGGATCTACACAGAGCCTGTACTCTTAGCTACCTAACTACTTTACTTGAAATTGATTTGGGATTTAAAAAAGTAATTAACAAAACATTTTCTTACACTTTTAAAAAGTTTACAAGTGAAAGGATTTGTGCTTCTTTTTAAACTAACATCTTGATTACTCGATCTGTTTAGGTACTCACTACTCACTTTTTAAAAATTCCATATAAGTACTTTAAATTAATTTTCTGGTTATTTCTGGTTATTAATTTTCTGCCCTTAATTGAAATGAAGAATAATTTTAAAAGGTGAAGTATTGCAAGTTTAGGCAGTCAAGTTCTCGTCTTGGCTTAGGTATAAACTTGCTGTGTGAATTTGGTGGAGGCCTCAGTTTCCTTGTGCTTATTAGTGCTTCTTTTTAACTAAAACAGTTCAGCGTATGTAAAGTGTCTTCTATGAACTTAAGAGATACTGCCTGTTGAGTTGCAGATGGCGAGGGGAGTTTGCCACGGGGCTAACCTCTTCATCCTGGCTCCCTCTGCCCATCTTGGCTATTCACCAGTGCAAGACTTCACAGAGACAAGCTTGACTCTTGGCTAGGACCCAGGATGATATTTAGAAAGAAGAGAATAAAAGCTTAAGGATGATCAAATTCTCTTAAGAAATATGGAGTTCAGGCTCAGTGCCTACAGCTTAGTGGCTAAGGTGCCAGCCACATACATTGGAAATGACAGGTTCAAATCCAGCCTGGGCCTTCCAAACAACAATGACAGCTACAACCAAAAAATAGCTAGGCATTGTGGCAGGTGCCTTTAGTCCCAGCTACTTGGGAGGCTGAGGCAAGAGAATCGCTTGGGCCCAAGAGTTTAAGGTTGCTGTGAGCTGTGACATTACAGCACTCAACTGAGGGTGACATAGTGAAACTCTGTCTCAATTTAAAAAAAAAAAAGAAAAGAAAAGAAAAAAGAAATATGTAGGTCATTATGAAAGTTTTGATCACACAAAATTCAGGAAACATAAAATCCACACAGATGAAAACAAATGAAGACTTCCCAGCAACACTGACAAGCTGAGCAAGCTGAAACTTGCAGAGGTGAATCAGAAAGGACGCTGTTGCGGTGAAGGCTACGTTAACCAGTTTGATGAAAATATTTCAAATTGTATATAAAACCAGCACATTGTACCCCATGACTGCACTAATGTACACAGCTATGATTTAATTAAAAAACAAAACAAAACAGAAAGGACGTTGTTGACAGTGTTTTCTAGAAGTGAAATAATGGACCGTAGCACAGTCTACCTCAAAACTTTTGCATTAAATGAAAGCATACGATGCTTCTTCTAATTTCCTCTCGATGCACTCCTCATGTTTTCAAAAAGAATGACAAAATGAACACGTCAGCCTGCCATTTCCTGATATGATAAGTGGACTGATGGCTCATCACACCACCACCCACTTTACAGTAATCAGATGAGTTTCAGTACGAAGCCTCGTTCTCAAGCAGCAAGATGCCTGCTATATGGGCTCCAGATACATTAATGTCCTGACATTATAGTGATATTCTTATTTTAAAATATTCAGGAGTAGCTGGCCACCGTATCTCAGTGGTTAGTGCCAGGAGTAAAAGTAAATGGTGGAAGTTTCTCATTCAGCATGTGTATGCAATGACTTACTATTTAATTAAGGAAAATAAGCTGTGACTATTACAAAAAGAATTCTATTTTTAAGAATCATAATCACTTCTTTTCAGTCTGCCATGAAAACACATGGAGACCAAAATTGATTAATATATAATTTTGTACCTTTAACCCCAAACAGCGTGGTTTGTTTCCTTTCCCCCAATTATTTATCCTTTGTATATTCAAAATTACTTACTGAGAACCTGCCGATTGTAAGGAATGGGATGGACAAATTCTTAATCTCTAAGATTTAAAAAAGTTTTTGGAGGCCTATGAACTTCTATACTTTCATTTGTAAAGTATCTAAGAATTAGTCACCTTAGTAATAACTAAGGTTGCATTAAAGGCTGAATGTTTATTAAATAGAGTTACAAACTGATTTGTTAGTTGTTTCTCTAATAATTTCCATGCCTGCCTCCAGCCCTCTCCTCCCCCCTTGCAGTGCAACCAGGCCTTCAAATAGTGTTCTCTAAACAGAGGCTTTCCGGCTTTGGAGGAGTAAGCTGATTTCACAGCCAGTTTTGCCACTGCGGTGGAAAACAGAGTGCACATGAAGCCAGCTGAAGTCACAGAAACTGCATGGGTTAGGGCTGCGGGAGCCTCCACAGCTGCTGTCAAATTGCAATTGGAAACAGCTTTTCCAAAGTATAGCAGGAGAAATCAGGGATTCCTGTTCACAGCCGCAGACTAGAGCTAATTTTGACCCCTTGGGGGTTTCTTTAAAAAACAGATATCAATTTTTGGATTAAAAATTTAAAAATAACATACTTTGCAATAAAAGCAATTTTCTCAAAGCACCTTAGAGATCTACTTATGAAAAATCTAGCTCTGTTTTAGAGGCATTTTTATCAGTAAAGATCAAAAATTTCAAAAAGAATTATGGCTAAAACTATGAATAAAATTGACCATTCCACTGTCTAGGCCTCACCTTTAATCAGGCAGTGAAGCTTGCTTGTTAAGAGCAATGTGACCCTTGGGCCACCCTAGTGACCCAAGATGTAGTGTCTTCCAATGTTATTACAATATGATCAATGTTTGGACAGCACTTACCTGTGTGAATATACATCTTTTGAGCATCTTCACGATGAAATAACCCCAGTAAAGATGAAGGATCTGTAAGATCATGAGTTGCAGGTTGAGGAAGATGTATGAAAAGAAAGGCTCGAGGTAATGCAAAGGCAGGATGAGCGTGCAGTACAAAATCCTGGAAAACGGACAGACAGGAGAACTTGGTTATAGCCAAAGCACTTGTGAATTTTCAGTAAGGAAGCAAAGACTTTCTCTCCCTAAGACATACAACATTTATTTCATTTCTAACGAAGCCCAGGACATTCTCAAGAGAAAAGTTATGACAGTATTATCTTTGTTATCTTTATTATCATTATTGGCAAGCAACAAAATAGTACAATCTTGTCTTCTGGGTGAAAAGCAAATGGCATTTTTAATGCCTACTGTTTAAACTAGTGTTTCTGTACTTCAGTTTCTTCTTTGCCAACAGAAAATTGTACTTAATTTCTGGTGTGTGTGTGTGAGTGTGTGTGTGAGTGTATGTGTCTGTGTTGGGAGGGGAGAAAAACTAATGTGGTAATGCATGTTTACATGGTTATGATTTATTTTCATTTATTTGGTCCCAAAGGTGAATGGAGAAGTCTACAGAAGTAAATTTTCCAAATAAAAGAGGTTTTTAACAAAGGAAAAAAGCTATGACTACTTCTACTTCTACCTCCTAAAGCAAACTGCATGCTTCATTAATCTCATAGCTAGACTGCTGGACATGATTTGAACTGACCCTAGTGACCCAAGATGCATTGTCTTCAGACGTTCCTGCAATACGAAGAGCTATTTGTTCCTTCCCCAAACTTCATGCACTACTATGATTTTAGACACATTTGACACATTTATTTATATTATGTTAGTGATAAAAAAATTGTTCACGTAGAATTGAGAAAATAAGAAAAAGAAAGAACACTGTCTGTAACACCATTACCTCAAACAAACAATACTGCAATTTTTGTGCACTATCTTCCAGCTTTTTTTCTATACAGATTTATTTTAATCTTATTTTTTAACCCTCACACAGTAGAGTGTACTGTTTCTTGGTGTACAGTTCACCAAATTGTAATGTACAGGCCTGTCTCACCACCACCGCCATGAGGACACAGAACAGTCCATCACACCAGAAAACTTCTGTCACTGTCCCTTTGGTGTCACACCCTCCCCCAAACACTTGGAGAACTTATCTGCTCTCTGTCCTCTGGTTTATCTTTTCAAGAACATACAAGCGGAATCACACAGCGTGTGAGCTTTTGAGGCTTGCTCAGCGGGATGGTTTTATAATCCAGGCAAGTGTGGGCAGCAGGAGCGTGGCCTTTTTTCATCACTGAGGAGTATTCCATTGTGTGAATGTACCACAGTTTCTCTGTTCACCCACCAATGAGCATTTAGGTTGTTTACAGGTTTTAACAGTTTTGAGTAGAACAGCTATAAGCATTCATGTGTGTGTTTATCTGTGAACAGAAGTTTTCATTTCTCAAGGGTAAATACCATGCGGTAAGTATATGTTTAATTTTATAAGAAGTGAAAAAAACGTTTTTCAAAGTGGCTGCTTTGCATCCCTACCGGCAAAGCATGAGAACTCACCCTCATTAGCACTCAGTATTATCCTATGGAGAGTTAGGTAACGTGGCACTTATGAGGTTTTATGTCCAATTCCATTTAGCGCTAAAGGAAAGACATTTTACAATGTTTAAACAGCTTGGTGTATAGTCTTTTATAAATTAAATATTATTTCTTTGGAAGTGTATATTCCTAAATGTGAGATTACTATTTCAAGATGTACTGAAGAAATACATAAATTCAAGGTTTATGTTAAAAGGTATTAAAACATTGCCAAACTATTTTCCAAAATTATAGTAACTTATAAGGCCACCAGCAATGTATTTAAAAAATGTTTCATTGAACACTCAACCAATATTAAATAAATTTAAAATTTGCTAATTTAAAAGACAAAGCACTTCCACTTACATTATTTTTAAGGCTTTGACAGTTCCCTTATGTCTGCTTAGAAGCTCGATTTTTTTGTAACTAAATAAGAATTACTGATGATAACGAAAAATGGAGTACAGATGCATCAAACATAATTATAATCACAACATTTTCTTTATGAAAAATGCAACTATTAGTGCAATAAAATGTACAACTAAAAATTTTCCAAAAGGAAAACACACAGTATAAAGAAAAATACTTTAGAAGCTCTATTTCTTCTTTGGTGAGTTATCACTTCAACTGCTTTGCTCAAAAGACAATTATATATACTCTATATAATAAAGATATTAGCTATTTATTCATTTTATTTATGCAATTATTTCTGAAGTTTACTTTTCTATTTAAAAATGTAACAACAGACTAGGTGCTGTGGCTCACGCCTATAATCCCAGCATTCTGAGAGGCCAAGTCAGGAGTTCTGCTTGAGCTCACAAGTTCAAGACCAACCTCAGCAAGAGTGAGACCCTGTTGCTACCAAAAATAGAAAAATTAGCTGGGTATCATGGTGATGCATGCATATAGTCCCAGCTACTCTGGAGGCTGAGGTAGGAGGATCCCTTGAGACCAGGAGTTTGAGGTTGCTGTGATCTAGGCTGACAGCACGGCATTCTAACCTAGGCAACAGAGTGAAACTCTGTCTCAAATAAATGAATGAATGAATGAATAAATAAATAAATAAAATAAATTTTTAAAATGGAAATGTAATAGCCCTCTTTTGCTTTTCAGGAACTTAGGAATTATTAAAAATATATAAAAAGAGGTTAAGGAAAATCACATAGCTCACAAATAACCCAGAATATTCTCTTGAACATAATTTAAGATCTCTCTCTTAAAAAGACTTTCCTTAAGGTGCTTTTTTTGCTCCCCCATCACCACATGATTACACAAAGGGATCACACTATATATGTGATTTTAGTATCAATAATATATTACTTTATTGGAAAATTGGATATGGATTTAAAAAATTAAAAAATAACAATATGTTATAGAGAGGTTTCTATGTCAATGAATGCAGCTATAGATTGGGGAGTCAGGAATCTTTGTAAAGGGACAGATAAATATTCCAGGCCTCTGAGTCATTTGGTCTCTGCTGCAACTACTCAGTTCTGCCACTGCAGTATGAAAGCAGCCACATGACAGCTATCACATAAACTAATTCATGCACAGACAATACACACATAAAGAGTGTGGCAGTGTTCCAGTGAAACTATCAATAAAACCAGGGAGGAGGCTGAGTTTGGCCTATGAGCCATAGTTCTCCAACCTCCACTATATATATGTCATTCCATGTAAGGGCTACACAGAAATCCATTTTATAGATATATTATAATTTAAGCCCTTATTGATAGTCATTTAAATTCCTCCCAAATATTCATCATATTAGAAAGAACACTGTTAAGAATTATTTGTAAAAACATTTTGATATAATTGCTTGATTGCCCCCTTATAATGGCTAAAATCCTAAATTAAAGAGTAGGCTCATTTTACAGTTTGAAATACAATACTAGGCTGCTTTCTAACAAGACTATATGTACCAATTTATATATTCTTGCATCCAATAAATAAGAGTATCTGCTTCCTCTTTGACCAACATTGTATATTGTCAGTCTCTAAGATAATAGAGCACTGTTTATATTTATGTTTTTCTTTCATGTGAAGTGACTATATATTACATATATTTATATACTTTATTGGTTATTTTATTTGGTTATCTATATTTATTCTTTTGTGAACTGGTTCTTCATGGTTTCTGTCCATTTTTCTATTAGAACATTTATTTATTATGTTGATTCATATATTTTAAGGATATCAGCACTATTTTCTAATGATGTTACATATCTTTACATAGTCCAATATTTTCTTTCAACTTTGTTTATGATCTTTTGGCCCATTCATCATAAAAATACTTTTGTAATCAAATTCTTCAATTGTTTCTTCTGTTATCTAGCTTACATGTTATGTTTTAAAAGATCTTTTTCATCCCTATCCATATAAAACACATTTACCCATATTTTCTTAAAATCCTGGATTTACTACTCACAAGGCTATGTAACCTTATATCACTTCTTATGTTTTTTTTTCATTAGTAAAATGGAAGCAAATAGTACTTACCTTATTCTTTTAATAAATATGTAGTGAACATCTACCAAAGTGCTACTTGGCACTTGGTAGGAACCAGGAATATAGCAATGAATGAAAGGAATGAAAACCCCTGAAATTAGTAGGACTTATAGTGTGGTGCCAACATTTATAGTTATTAACGGGAATAAATGGAAATAATATATGGAAAGCTTATATTCTACTCTGGGTTTCTAGGTCCTTAGGTAACTTTGTGCCTTGCTCTGTTCTCTCTCTGACAAGAATATATTTCCCCTTTTCAGCTGAACCTCTTATCCTCCATAAACACAGGCCCCTTGACAACAAAAGTCTCCATGCTATTCTGGTCGCCCCTGAACATCTGACCTTCCCCCAGGCCCACCCCTCCTCATTAGCTGGCAAGCTTTCCTAAGGCAGTGGCCAGGACACCTTCATCTCCATGTCCTCCTCTGAACTAGCCCAGAGGTTTACCCCTTACTTGGTCCCTTATTAGGAATTCATCAGTGTCAAAGTTGACAAAGGAATTTACTAAAAAATATCTCCTTTACACCATCTATTAGAAAATGTGAATAATTAGCTGAACACAAAATAGTTCATTATGATCCTTGCAAGAAATGAGAAAAAGGATGGGGCATTACCTCGTAGGGCTCTGACTGAACTTCCCTGCTCCTTGAGTTGAGGAAAGGAAGAGAACTGAGATTCCAGTTAGAGGGAAACACATGCACAAAGGCTCTCAGGTACGGGGATCAAGGAAAGCTCAATTGCTGTGAGGAGACCAGTGTGGTCTAGGAGAGAGGAATAGCAGGGAAAGGTGGCATCAGGTAGGGTGGGAAAGGCGAATGAAGCCCTTAGGTAGGCCTTGCACATGAAGGCAAGGTCGCCATCTTCATTGTAGGAGCAGCTGGGAGCTTTTCTGGTTTTAGAAAGAGGAGGGATACACATGGCACAGAATCATCAGAGCTGGGTTCAAGGCCTGATGCTACTTATTTCTTGAATGTGCGCAAGTTACTGAGCCTTCGTTCCTCAGCCACTGGGTGGAACTGCCCCCACCCCTCCATCCCC